GAGTTGCTAATGAGGAGAAGACACTGCACCAGGTTAAATCTGAATTTCCTGAACCTGGGCGGAGGGTGAAACGGCATCAGGAATGCTAGTGCTGGACACAAGACTCAGCTAAGCGAGGGTTTACTTCAGGGGACAAAGTTTAGTGTAGAAACCACGGGAATGGCTCTGCATGGGTGAGAGGTTGGTTGACGCGAGGTTAGGTCCAAAAATATATAAGGTTTAGGTAGGTGCGATGGTCCTAAGCAAGGATATGGACTATACGAAAGCTGCAAACTTGCAAATGATGCGGGAGCAAGATGTGCCTGGCTCCTCGAGTGTTCCAGAACATGTGGGTTCTTCCATTCCATCAAATGTTGAAGATACCTTGTAATCTGAGATGGACACGGTGGATGTTGCCACCTCGATGCTTTTGCTGCCTGAAGAGGAGAATGAATTTCTTCCGAGATGCTCCTGGTGCAAGAGGTAGGCTAATGTGCGTTACACGATGCTTGTATCAGAGGCAGAGTTGGAGAAACGGCTTAGGAGAAGGTACAAAAAAAAAAGAACTGGCCTATGTCTTTGGATTCAGAGGGGGAGGGATGTACCCGGGTGGACCTCATAGAATATGAGTTCCCTGATTGGGGCTGTTAATCTGGTCTAATCAGGGAGCCCTGGCTGACAGGTAAGAACAGGAGTGCCAGACATCCTGTTTACTCAGAGCTTGCTCTGAGGGAGCTGGATCAGTGTCAAGGACTCTCCACGTGTAAATAAAGGGTGTCTTGGTGATGTGATCCCAGCCTCTGCGGGGATTTATTTCAGAGATCTGTGACTAGCGGTGTTCTGTAGGGATCAGTGCTGGGACCCCTGTAGTTTGTAATATATATAAATGATTTGGAGGAGACTGTAGGTGGTCTGATTAGTAAGTTTGCAGATAACACAAAGATTGGGGGAACTATAGATAGTGAGGAGGATTTCCAGAGGAAAAAGCAGGATAGATAGGCTGGAGACATAGGTGGAGAAATGGTAGATGGCATTTAATTTGGACAAATGTGAGGTGATGCATTTTGGAAGATCTGATGCAGGAGGGAAATATACAGTAAATGGCAGAACTCTTAGTTGCATCAATATACAGCGGGATCTAGGCGTACAGGTCCATACTTCCCTGAAAGTAGCAATACAAATGGATAAAGTGGTCAAGAAGGCATATAGCATGCTTGCCTTCATTGGTTGTGGCATAGAGTATAAACATTGGCAAGTCTTGTTTCAACTGTACATAACTTTAGTTAAGCTACATTTGTGTACCAGTCTGGTCACCACATTAGCAGAAAGAAATGGAGGCTTTGGAGAGGGTACAGAAACGGTGTACCAGGATGTTGCCTGGTTTGAAGGGTATTAGGTGTAAGGAAAAATTGGATGAAATTATTTTCTCTTGAATGTCGAAGGAGGAGGGGTGACCTGATAGATGTTTACAAAATTATGACAGGCATGGACAGAATCGATAATTGGAGTCCTTTTCTAGGGTAGAAATGTCAATTACTCGAGGACATAGGTTTAAAGTAAAAGGAGGAAAGTTTAAAGGAGACATGAGAGGCAATTTCCTGGAATAGAGGGAAATGGACCACATGGAGGCAAAACGTTTTTAATTTAGGAAGGCACCATGTGTTGTTGCAGCCCTGGTGGTCTGAAGGGCCTGTTCCTGTGCTGTACTGTTCTTTTGAATCCTCTAACCTAATGGATTACATCCAAGGATTTTAAAAGACGTAGCTACAACAGAAATGGCAGAGGTAGGAGCAAATTACTGCAGATGCTGGAATCTTTTCTGAAAATAAAAATGCTGGAAATCACAGCAGGTCAGGCAGCATCTGTGAAGAGAGAGAGCAAGCTAACGTTTTGAGTCTAGATGACTTCACCAGAGCACTCTGATGAAGAGTCATCTAGACTCGAAACATCAGATTGCTCTCTCCCCACGGATGCTGCCTGACCAGCTGTGATCTATACCATTTTTGCGTTTTCAGAAATAGCTGATGCACTGGTAGTAATCTTCCAAGAATCTTTAGATCTGGGAGAAAAAGTCCTAGTGGTTTGGAAAACTGCCAATTTAACATCCTTATTCATAAAGAGAGGGAGACAAAAAAAAATGTAACTATAAACAATAGCTTAACATTTGTCATTGGGAAAATGCTTGAGTCTAATAAACAATCCAAGAGCAGTGCATAATAAAATCAAGCAGAGTAAGCATGGTTTCATGAAGGGGAAATTATACCTGACAAATTATTATTAGTGTTCTTTGAGGAAGTAACAAGCAGGACAGATAAAGGGGAACAAGTGGTTATAACATATTTGGATGTTCATATGCCATTTGTTTAGGTAATGCATGTAAGACTACTTAATAAGACAAGATCCCACGGTGTTAGGAACAGTATATTTCCATGTATTGAGGATTGATTAACTAATTAAAACAAAGTTAGGATATGGGAGCATTTTCAAAATGCAATCCGTAACTAGTCAAATGACACAGATTGATGCTGGGGCCACAAGTATTTACAATATATATCAATGACTTGGACGACAGAATTGAATGCACTATCTCCATCTTTACTGATAACACAAAAATAGGTGGGAAGGCAAGAGTTGAGGATGACACAGAGTCTACAGAGGGATATGGACGGAAAAGCATGTGGCCAAAAAATTGGCTGATGGATTATGATCTGGGAAAATGTACTTTAGCAGGAAAAAAATTTGAATATTATTTAAATCAGAAAAGACAGCAGAAAGCTGCAGCACAGAGGGATTTGAGATCCCCACCCATGAATCACAAAAAGCTGGCATCCTAGTAACAGGGAAGGCAGGGAAGGGAATGGACTATAAAAATAGGGATGTCTTGCTAAAACTGAACAAAGCATGAGTTATGCCTAACCTGGAATGACGTGTCAATGTTTTGCCTAAGGAAATATTTGCTGGGATTAGAGGAAGTACGGAGAGGTTCACTAGGCTGATCCAGGGTAGGGAGGGACTGTTTTATTTGGAGGTGTTGAGTAGGTTGGGCTTGTACTCATTGGAGTTCAGAAGAATTAGAGGAGACCTTATTGAAACATGTAAGATTTTTAGGCATAGGGTAGATGTGGAGACATTGTTTTCTTTTATGGGAAAGTCTAGGACCAGAGGGCATATTTACATAATTAGGCATCATGCATTAAAGACCGAGATGAGGTAAAATTTTGTGACTCAGAGAGTAGTCAATCAGTAGAAGTCTTTATTGCAGAGGGCCTTTGAAGCTGTGTTGTTTGGTATATTCAAGGCCAAGATAGACAGACTTCAAATCAATAAGGGAATCAAAGTTTTTCGGACAAGGCAGGAAAATGGAATTTGGGATAATCAGGTCAGCTACAATGTTATTGAATGGTGCAGGAGCCTCACTGAGCTGAACAATCTACTTCTGCTCCTATCTCTTACAGTCTTATGGAAAAATAATCCTGGACATCTAGACTGTAAAACCCTTTTATAAGCTTATATTTTAATGAGATCACCAAGCCCATTCTATTCGTTCTTTCGATGTGGTCTTTCTAAATATATAATTGCAGGAAGACTGAATTATTCTTGTACCCAATCCCCATCCGAGAACTCGGGCAAAATTAACTCTGGCAATAGTTTACAAAACAGGTTTTGTATTGCTATGGTGCCTTTTCATATGTCTCACAAATATTTGAAAAATTTAGCATACAATGAGATACTTTGCCTTTCCCAGATATGTACAAATCCCACAGTTTGTGGCAACACCAGAGTAAATCTGTTCATGGATGGAACTCAGGTCAGCCTGGGATTCTGGGACACATCAGGAAATGACTTATTTCAAGAAATTTCCACACTTTTGTAGCAACAGGCAGATGCAGGGTTAATTTACTACTTGGTAGCAAACCCTGCATACCCCTCAGACTGGAGTGCAAGGAATATATGGATGTCAGCGAGTGACAAGTTCTGTATCTGCCTCTGATGACCAAAGAAGTCATGTTCCTGTGATTATATTCAGGTAGGATTGCATTGGCCAGCAGAAACATTTGGGGGATCTTGGCAGGTGCAGTCAGATTTCACTGGTTGTTGATCCTAGTATGACCTTTACATGTGGCACCAAGGAAAGCATGTCTGTCAGGGGCATTTTTAATCAGCATTACAGCTATTCACATATCTAAGTGTTGGCATTGGACATTTGCTAGTATTCGTTTTGAAAGAGAGCAATAAACAGCCTATTTTACCATAGTAAGGACAATTTACCTCAGTCAGTTGGTATGTATGTAAGGGTACAAGAGAATGGGCATATATCATCTCTAATACAACCTTGCATCCCTGATGTTCTCTGTGATGCCTTCTTTCCCTCCAGATGCTCCAATTAAAGGAATTCCTTTCATTGGGTTTTTCTAGAGGTATGGACCCTGCAGTTAGAACCCGTTTCCACTAAAGGCAGTAGCTGCCTTTTATTTTGAGACGACTTTAATATAAAAGCAGGGATATACATCTGAGGCCCTACGAGGCTCTGGTCAGGCCATATTTGGAGTATTGTGCGCAGTTTTGGGCCCCATATCTCAGGAAAGATGTATTGGCCCTGGAGCGGGTTCAGAGGAGGTTCACAAGAATGGTCCCAGGAATGAAAAGCTTAACATATTAAGAACATTTGAGGACTCTGGGTCTATACTTGGTGGAGTTTAGAAGGATGAGGGGGGATCTAATTGAAACTTACAGAATACTGAATGGCCTGGACAGAGTGGATGTTGGCAAAATGCTTCCATTGGTAGGAGAGACTAGGACCCGTGGGCACAGCCTTACAGTAAAGGGAAGACCTTTTAGAATGGAGATAAGGAGAAACTTCTTCAGCCAGAGAGTGGTGAATCTATGAAATTCACTGCCGTGGAAGGCTGTGGAGGCCAGGTCAGTGAGTATATTTAAGACGGAGTTAGATAAGTTCTTGAATTTCAAGGGGATCAAGGGTTACGGGGAGAAAGCAGGAGAATGGAGTTGAGAAACTTATCAGCCATGATTGAATGGCGGAGCTGATGCAATGGGCTGAATGGCCTAATTTCTGCTCCTATGTCTTACGGTCTTATGGTCATCATCTAGCTTTTCTATGAAAATGGTAATAATTGAATGGAGAAATATAATCTGAATTTAGAAGGAAGTTTGCTAATACTACAATTTCCCTAGAATTGGGTACGTCACTAGAATGTGTCAAGAACTGCTGGGAGCTGTGTTGTCATGTTTGTTCCCAAGGTTACCAGGAAGGAAGAGCAATATATATATATAGAAGCAAGACGAAGCAAAAATCATTAACGGAACAGTAGTGGATACATGCAAGTCTATCGGCAAAACCTGTGGTCAACGTTAGTGGACTGTTAGAGGCAAAACCTGCAGCAAGAACTAACTCAAGTACGTTAAATACTAACTCATGATTTTCCTTTTAGCTTTCATGGATTTTTGCAAAATGTCTTGCAAGAGTGGTAGTATAAAGCATTGAGGAAAATTTTGTCGATCCTTGATGTGCTGTGAAATTGTAAACTCATTCTTTAAAAGCAGACTTAAACTTTTTTGACATCTAGGACACAGAGGAACTCTTCATTCCAGATTTGTACCAGTTAAGTTACTGTCTTCAGTGTTTTAAGTGAAAATTCATTACTCTGCCTTTTGCTCCAATTATTCTTTCCCAGAACAGGGGAAATTGTAAGTTTCCCTTGCCTTCTACAGTACCCAGACGCTTAAAGACAAATGTCTGTGTCAATCTATTGTTAATTTAGAAGTAAAAATAATTTTGAAGTGGAAATAAAATGTTGAGCCAGCATTTGAAATATAACACTAGTTAATTTTTTAGGTTTGACATTTTATCAGAGCTTTTTAATCATAAATATCTCTTCCTTGTTTCACAGGTGAGGGAATGCTTTGGTGGAACTCTCTGAACATCCATTGTAGTGAGCTGCTGCATTGAACAGAAAAAGCATTTTCGGAAGGATCTGTGTTCCTGCTGTGAGAGATTGAAAAGACCTGCCAAAGCTACTTGTGATTTATTTTACATAGCAACTTGGAGGCATCATGAGCTCCATAAAATGTGTTCTCGTGGGTGATGTAAAAGTGGGGAAAACAGCTTTGCTGGTGAGGTTTACATCAGAGACTTTCCCAGATATGTACAAGCCCACAGTTTATGACAACACAGGAGTAGATGTGTTTATGGATGGAACACAGATCAGCCTGGGACTCTGGGACACATCAGGAAATGATTCATTTCAAGGAATTCGACCACTTTCTTACCAACAGGCTGATGTGGTGCTAATTTGCTACTCTGTAGCAAACCCCATGTCTTACTTGAACGTTAAAAATAAGTGGATGCCAGAAGTCAGAAGCTTTTTACCAAAAGTTCCAGTATTGGTTGTTGCTACACAAATAGACCAGCGTGACATAGGCACTTTTCGCACCATCACATCTGTTGATGGGAAGAGGCTGACAAGAGATATCGGAGCACGAGGATACCTGGAGTGCTCAGCAATTACTAACAGAGGGGTACAAGAAGTGTTTGAATATGCAGTGAGGACAGCTGTCAGATACATAAACAAACAAAGCAGGAAGAAGATCATCGACCTCAATAAATGTGTGATAGCCTGACTTTCATTAGCCTGGTATAGTAATTTAAAATAATTGTAACTTTCCAATTTGTCAACAAATACTAAAGGTGTTGTCACCTAAATGGCTTTCAGCCTGACTGTGTTGATCATACAATATGGGTACGAGTTGGCTGTGTTCACTGATGCTACTGTATCTATATCAGTTTCACTGATTCATTTCTACTGAAGTAATGAATCCCAGTCAGGAACGCTAACGGAAAACTGAGGAGGAGGAACTGATTTCAGCATTGACTGTCATGAACTTTTAGGAGTTCAAAATACAGTGACATTTAATCATTACGGAAGGATGGCTGACATTCTTGTTTTGTGTATTTAACTTGAGCTGGGTGCCACCATCATGCAAGTTATTTTAAAGATGAAATATTAAATAAAACTGTAACCTTGCACTCGCTGGTAAAGTGCGTTGATCTCAGAGATCCAAGTAAAAGTACATAGCCAGTACTTTTGATGACTGTAATATTTAATAATTTTATACTT